CGCGCGTTGACGGCTTCAGGGGTAGGCCAGCTTGTTCTCAAAGAGGTATTTTACAGCTGAAACTTACAAGACAATCACAACAATGATAGATAGTGAAGCAAAATCATAACATTATCTGTTTTCGACAACAATTGGTTTAGTGGTTTTGTTGTCGTTGTTCACGTAACTTTACGTCGAAGTTTCTTTAAGATGAGTGTCTAAATCTGATTCAGAGTTCTGCCCGCGGCATCTCAGGTGCTAATTTCACAAATCTCTGATTGCTCTGTGATCTAGGCTGATTTTGAAGATTACAATAGGTCATGTGAATGGGAAAAAAACTTTGATGATCAAGAGCGGTATTCTGACAGTAAAACTTGGTATTTGGATGGGAGGCTTTCGATACATCGTCCTTGATTGCCTTGTTAAGATCGTCCTTTTCAATAGTCAGCCCAAGTTGCAACGGCACGACGTGATACTTTTACTGCTGGAGGCACTTCAAAATGCGCTTAGAATTTTTTAATGCTATCGTCAGCTATCATTGTGAGTGGCGGTAGAGTATTGGGCGGTAGATGATGCATTATATACACGATTAATACAAGATTTTAACCTGAAGTTGAGGGTGCACACTGTGAGCCACCCGATTGGTCGGTCGGAACACAGAAATTTCTATACACATAATTCGCTTATATAAATGAGTATTTTGAGAGCTATTGAGTCCATCAAACCTTTTACATGCTCTCTCCAAGCTCACACAGGATTTCTTGCCAAATGCTTTACCTCTTCCCATCTCATCCGTAAGTAGTACCGCATCTTCCTACTTGAGCCCTGTATTGTGAATGCATTCTTAACTAGCATTTATTTGTCTTTTTATGACAATAAAAAAGAGCAGCAACAACAATAACTGTCAAATTTGACAAGCCGATTATGAGCCCCGTTCTAGTTAACCGTGAGACGTAAGTTCTGAGTCCTTTCGAGACCACCACAGCAACTCACATTATTTTTGGAAGAATCCTCGGAGAGTTCCTGAGTCAAACTGCAGGTTTGATATGCCTGTGTTAACTCATGGCTTGCCGGATATTTATAGTGGAAGAGTAGAGTTTTAGCTTTCATCACGCCGGATGGAGATTAGTCTTGATTCACTGGAAGTATGTACTAGAAACTTGTTCTGTCGTCAGTCTCTTTCTCACTTTGCTAATGACTTGTATGCCGGTATCGGTTGATCATTACTAGGCTTTTCGGTGAATGTTGTATCAAGCAGTGTCTAATGCGGGGAGCGAGTATTGACCACCAGTCTATGAAATAATTGTAGGTCATCTTTCTGGAATGGATATCCAAATACAAGGGAATGTTCCAACATTACTTTGCAGAGATCACAATTGAAGTTTGTTTCTATAGACAGTAGGACTGAATAAAATTTTCGATCTGGCTTGAGTTTTCTGTCAATAATTGTCCACAACTGAAGATGATCGACTGACAATAAGTTTTCGTTTATTAAATGATGACAGTATGAACAATAGTGGTGAAGGTAATGAATAATGATACGAAATGCAATCACAGCTTACATATCGCAAAAGAGAGCGCTTAGTTCTCAACAGTTAACTACAATATATAATCTGTATATCCCTCTTCGTTAATCTGTGGGCATTTTCGTGGACAGTCATAACATCTTTGAATTCAATCTGAAGGTGGATGAAATTTAATATCTTCCATCTTATATAGAAAGGAGATTTAGTTCCTCCATCGCAAATCACACTACTCAGTGAATCCTTCGTGATTTTGAAAAAGTGTGTATAGCACGTCATACCGACTAGATGATTTAGGGTTCGTTCGGATCGATTTCTTATTTTAATTAATGAAATCTTTAATCATAATAAAACGACAAGGATAATTGAATTGTTGAAGCTAATATATATTAGGTATATTTGATTGAAACTAATATATTTGGAATAATATTGAAATATATAAAATTGAATTGAAAATGAAAAAGATGATGCTTTTTCTCAAATATATTTGTTCAATTATATTTCAAAAGTTGTTATTAATTTATTGTATAAAAAAGGTTGAGAAAATTTATTCTATTTATTATTTTAAGATTATTAGACTTAATATTTTATTAGCTCAAATATTATATTCGCTTCGAAATATTTCAGTTATATATTAAATTTAATATAGTCTAATATATATTGAGCTCAGTATGATATTCAATAAATATAATATTGGGCTAATATTTCTAATATATTAATCTAATATCAAAAAAAAATTCGATCCGAACGGGCCCTTAATGATCTGGATAGACTATCTAGATATGAACAAAGAATTCCATATTTGAAGCCTTGAATTAATGACAAGTGAAAGAAATGAGGGGGATGGGGATACACAGGCAGTTTCTGACGCATTCTCTGTAAAAAGATAATTGGCAATAGAACGAAATTGTCCTCCTACTGTCTTCTGTTGAGAAAAGTTTGAATTTTCTTATGGTTTAGATGCAGATAGATGTCTTCTTGTCAACTATAATACACTAGGTACTAGCTAAATAACCGTATGGTCATGACAATAAAACGAAGATTGGCAGCGAATCTTAAAGATATACAATGAAGACTATGGATTCTGATATCAATCTGAGACAGTGAGAGAACGATTGTATGGTATTTCGTTTTAAGATAGTCGGAAACATTGTATCCATAATGGGCTGCTGTACAAATCTCCAACAGATTATCAAGACTGTTTATAGATTTGCTGCCGTCATTATTACATTATTGTTTTGAATTTAGGTCATAAAATCACAATCCCTATTCTGGATCAAAGTTGGTGACATACCTCCTGAGTTGTGTTGGAAATAGTCAGCAAGCACAGAGAAGAAACATGCCACTTTCGTCTTTCGTCCTTCATTATGAATTTTCTTTTTAAGGACATTCAAACTACACAATAGGACTTCTCAAGTCTAAGGGATGAATCTGCCATATGATTTCGATCGAACATATTTTCCATATGTTTTTGCCTTGATCATATTCAACTCTTTTGAGCTCACTCCGATGCTAACCGGTTGCATTCCATATGCTTTGGGGTTCTAAACGTCTTGAAATCATGGTCCACGTTGAATCACATGAGTGTTTGCCAACCTGTAGAGAAGGTATGGGCATTAGCTTAGGCCCGTGACCTGGAAAAGCTCTCGACGAAATGAATTTTGGGTATGGTTTGCTTTTTGGTAAAAAGTTAATAGTTACCAGTGCACTGCGCTTTCTTGCCTGAATAGGAATTACTTCCAAATCAAGTAAGTTAGCCAAAACACTATTTTCGGCTGCTTTTGTGCAATACTTGGGGAACCCTGAAGGGTTAGATATTTCGACACTCCACAAGACCTAAAATACTCAAATAGGCATATTACCCCAATAGGTCTGGGTTGCCTAACGATGACTTGTTCCAATATAGGGTACTGCCTCAACAGCCGCTCACGCTCACGCCCAAGCCCAAAGACTCTTAACGTGCTATCTGCGGTTACAGCGCGCGATGATTCATGAACGTTATAAATGCACGGCAGTAACGTTTGAGAATCATGGCAAATGCCCCATCAAAATCCGCATCAGGAGTGCATTAGCACTTCTTCACCGACATGAACTTTGGACCCTGATTCTAGTCATTTTTTACCCCCCATGGAGGTAATTTGCCACTGAAACAGATCATTGATCATCCGCGCTTGCGGCATTCAGAGGGTTTGATGGGAGAAACCCATGTTGAGTTTGCACTACTTGTGTCTCGCCCAACCAGTGGTTACACAAAGAATTAGAATTCCTTTCAATCGCCACTGAACCACTAGACCCCTCTTATCGAAAGATTTTGGACCCTGATTTTAGTATCCATTACCCCTCCTTGAGCCTCATTAATCATGGGTAAGCTGCCAGACATATCCTCACATCTCTCTTCAACGCTCATCCTTGAGCTCCATACACCACCCTCTCCCCTTTCGCCTCATTCTACAATAAACCGCTAATGCTGAATCACCACACCAACAAGCAATTTCCTGGTAATTTCGTCCCGAAACCCGAAAGATCATTCAGATCAACACAAAACACAATTGTACAACGCACAATACAACATCATAACACATAAAAAATTAATGAAGCGTATAATTTTATGCCCCACACTCTATGCAGAGTGAAAAATAAGAAAATTGCGCTTCATGCGAACCCTGCTCATAGAATCAACCCCACCATTAGCGCAATCCACCTCAACCCCTCGATCTATCAAATGACCTAGTATTTACCAACCACAAATCGACGAGGAAGTAATCTCCATACAATAGTATTTCTCTTGGGCCTCTTTTACCGGATCTGGCAAGTAACCAGGTATCTTATCGCACTTGGGTGACCTACTCACAACGGCGCCATGAAAATCACCTCCACTGCAATAGGAGAAGATCAAATATGCGAACTGTTGACCAACACACACATCCACCTCAGTACATGAGCACCTGCACAAAGTATCACGATCCCTCATACGTCTAGCATTGGTCTACCTCGTCTTGTATTGCGATGATTGAGAGTTTATCCTAAGAAGCGCTTTCCAGGTAAGCTCTTTAGCTTCTGTGCCTTTCAATGTGTTTTGAGTTTGGCGTGGTGGAATAAAAGGATTCATTATCTTTTCTTCCCCAAAAGGGGTATATCTCCTATTCTAGATCTTTTGCGCCTATCAAGCGGCTCTTTGTCGATCGATATGACTTGAGTGAAAGCTAATGGGGACTTCATTCACACGTGAGCTAATGAGTGTGTGTAGTTGGGTCACTCACACAGATTGATCATGGCCTCAAATGTTATAAGAAAATTAAGTCAAAGGCAGAAATTGATTGATGTAAAAATACTGCTAATGCGCAAGGGCAAAATATACACGAACTGAAAAAGGAAAAAGCAAGCTATACACGCGATAACCTTTTCGACTCCAACCAAATGCTACAGATACACCCGCTCACTCTAATCACACACCTTTTCCATCTTTCGTACACTTCTTAGTATCACACTAAGGCATATCTAGTAGACCGGCATCTTGAATGCGTCGAAAGTGTAAGTCCAGCTGTCAATGGAAGCTTGGTCATACTCGCAAGATAAGGTTCCCTCGGCATCCCAGATAGGTCTTAATGGATAGGCGCAAAGCTTTTGAACCTCTCCCTCAAAAGTACCGCTGCCAACAGTAGCGTTAAGTCTCTCTGGCTCAATACCGTTCTCAATCCAGTCGATCATGGTAGCCATGTTGTCGGCTGGGTAAGGGCCTGGTTGAAGAGTGTTGGTGCTGCAATGGGCGGCTCCTGGGATAAGGAAAAGCTTGTACCATTCCTTGAGGGAGGTGATGCTGGCATTGAAATCTTGTTTTGGGTACATGATGGAGCGGACGGATTCATAGTAGTGGACGGAAGAACCGGTTGGGATACTGTCGTCAGATTCTCCATGGTAATGAATGAGCTTTCCTCCAGATTCTTGGAACTCGGTAAGGTCAGGTAGAGTGGTTTGTAAACTATCCATGTACATGACCATGGCCTCGGTCATCCATTCTTGGAGAGTGTCCATAGTGACGCCTTCGAGCGAAGCAAGGTTGTCGAGGTCAACCCTTTGAATGAATTTGGTAACGAATTCACCTCCGGTGGAAGCAATATCAACACCCCATGTGCCGGTAGTGTTGTCGTAGGAGCTAGTGGCATCTTGGAATGCACAAGCTGGTTGCCATGGGAGGTAGACACGCTGACCATTTGAATTGAACATACCATCGTAGAGTTGAGCAGCGAGAGCAGCGCCTTCAGCAGAGACAGTTCCGTTTTGAGCAGGTGTAGAAGCGGTGGCTTGACCCATTTGTCTCTTTACCTTTTGACCGAAAGCAAATCCAAGGGAGCTACTAGTTGAAGCCTCGCAATAATAAGGGGCACCGATAGTGCTATTAAGGTTGAAGTTGAGCTTGCAGAGATCAGTTCGGGATACGACGCCGTCGGTACGTCCATCGAGAGGATCGCAAGCCTCGATTGTCATATTGACGATCTTGTCCATCTCACAAGTAGGTGGGAAGTAGTTCATCATGACCTCGGCAACGTTGGAGAATAAGTGGTTCTAAGAGAAATTAGCAATTGCCGCATGTCAAGTTATTTTTTACCTTTGGGTATGACTTACAACTTGTTGTTGTCCATAACGGAAAGCTGGGGCACCAGTGATGACACCATCGTACTCGGAACCATAACGTTGGATTTGGGACATACCCTCACGCCCGCCATCAGAACATCCCTCGTAGTAGGTATAGAGCTTTGCGCTCGAGTTGCTTCCATAGAACAATGGTGTAATAGCCTTTCCAAGCTGGGTCATCTCACCAAGTGCCTGATATCCGAACATGTAGATGCTATCCCAGTTGACAGATCCATTTCCAGTCAAGACAACCTCATCAACAGTGGTACCACCAATAGCATCGTAGCCGGCATCTGAGACACCCCCGACGGCACCATATGGTAAACCTGCGGTTGGATCGGAGCCGAGAGCGTATCCACCTCCTCCGCCAACATAGAAACGGCTCTTGTAAACATCGGGGCTTGGGAAATTGTACCAAACGACAACTTGATCTTTACCCGGGTGGGCATAAGTAACAGTAACGTTGCAGTAGTCGTAAGCTACCGAGCTGACTGTGGCGTTGTAAACAGGGTTGGCAGTAACGGAAGATGAGATTGGGTTGATGCCGTTCAAGGTTCCGTTTGCTGGTAAAGCAGCTTGAACGTTTGCGACAGTACAAATATCTGCAAGGGAGGCGGCCTTTGCTGTAGAGGCAGCAAGAGCTGCAACAGCTCCTGTTCGCATCGATTGACGCATAATTGGAATCGAAAAATCAAATAGAAAGAATGTCGTTGAAGTTGAAGTATTAGTTCAGATTGTCGGGTGGTAAGCGAATGAAAGGACTGAAACCTGATGAGGAGGAGAAAATGTTGGTAGGAGAACTTTGAGATCTTATAAACATTTTGAGAAGAGATGGAAACGTTCGTCCCACCTCGTCGATCCCGAATTGACGTTCAGCATAGCATCAATGTCTAAATTAGATGTTACACGCCACAATCAATCCTAGCACACACCTTGCAAATACGCAAGTCGCAGTCTTATTGCTTGCGCCCTATGAGACGCGCAACCTCATTAGTCTAGTTGTGTTTGCTTGACATTGTGGTAGAGCCATTTGATGGTCAAAGAGTATGAAATGCCTTGGTCGTATTTGACATACCGGTCAGGATCTTGTTAGCTAGACCTACGGGCCGGCAGTGGAAGCGTGATGAAGCTGGAAAATTCGCTTAGACGCGTAACCTTAATTTGATAGTAACCTTACTACGGAAAGTTTTCATCATGTCTCCATAGTATTTATCAGATTAGTTTGACCGCTCTCTTAGCACGGAACTAAAATCAAAGTTCTTTGGGTAGAACTTTACCAGAATGAGCTTAATAGAACAAAGGCGAAGCCCGGGAGGCTGGAGCAGACGTAGAAGAGAACTTCAGAGGCACATTAGCCATAGTGACAATTGATATTAAAGACAATTTTTAGCTCACGGCCAAAAACTTATCGTTTTTCGGGTTTAAGTAGTTCTGTCGACTAGACAATAAGGCTATTCCAGAAAGTGTCCCATGGTGAGCCGTGGACGAGATTGGCTGTAGGCGAGCAAGAATATTTGGTATTGGTAGACCATTTTCAGTCTTCTTAGGACTACGAAAATTTACAGGAGTCATCCAAACTTCATTTGAAAGTCACCTTACTTGCGCACGCTTTCGGGTTTGTGGAACTCACCTTCACGGTGATAACCTCATCGGAGAAACACCAGCCTCGTCAGCCCAAGCTACCGGTATTTTCCCAGTTCCACCTGCCCAGGTAAAAACCATTCAATAGGGGGTGGGATACCATTAGCGCTCCACGACGTTATCTCAATGACCCACAAGTCAGATGGTATTCACCAAAAGCCGAAACAGCTCAATTAATCCTTAATTTGACTTGCATTGTGCACTAGGCCCTTCCATGTTTATTCTAGAAATTCGGCACGCAACGAAGACGCGTGTTCATGCCGGTAGCTCAGCTAAAGAAAGACAATTCGGTCCCGACGTCAGTGAGGATACGCATAGATCAGATTTCGGAACAATACCTTTTTAAAAATATGGTCCCTAGTCTCCTTAACATCAGTGCAAGGCACGAGCTAGCGCTGACGATTCATACTTGAGACGACTTGTTTTTACGTTTACAAATATTCTCGGTCCCGAAGCTAGTGCCAAATTCGAAGATCAGATAAATTACGAACAAACTTTGTCAAATATTTAAGCAAATCAATTTCTACCTCCTACATCCCCAAGGCCTCTATCCAAAGTTCCTTCCTTAATGCCATTGTTTGAATATATCTTGGTTGTTCTGAAAATTTAATTGTTCAAGATCGGTTTACATGATTTTGAGAGTCGACCTCAAGCCAAGCTACCTCGCCAAGCATGGTTAGCTGAACTCTAACCTTAATCTAATCTTCACATCTTCTCACTGAGTCCTCAGCCACTTCAACCCTAAAAGTTTATTTCACAACCGGATGTATCCATCATTTATTTCTGACGTCCTTCTAGAATTTTCAATGACTTGTTGTTAATTTTCAAGAGTCATATTATAAAGTATCGATGATTCGTGAAAGAACGAATATATTAAATAGATTTGGAACTCCCACATTCACGGGATTCCATAAAGTACGAAATTTGTCTAACCTACTTTGTAGAACAGGTGAACCCCAGGAGAAACATTGAAATCTGCATGCTCTTGGAAATTCTTGGACCAGAGTCACCTGATATTAATCATCATGCAAATGATTCTTGGTGTTGAATAGAATCATGTCCTCGGGACCGAGAATAGTCAAGCTAAATTTAGTCTCCGTGATCTAGCTGGAGGCTATTTTCGCTTCTCAATGTCTTGGGGTATAGAGGCGGACTTAGAAAAACTCTATTCCTACTAGTAATTTCTTCTTGGTGACTACTCAGATGCTGTTTCGTGTACAGTGATTCTCACGTTCTCACGTTTTTACGCGAGTCATACATTGACAAACTTTTCAAACTATGTCATATGTACACTTTCAAATCGAACATGTTCGTAATCCAAAAATAGTTCTACAAAATTCGAAACATCTGGCACCTTCCTTGCTCGCACGTTCTTCTGAAAAGGAATAATGAAGATTGTAATCGCAATTTGTGAAAAGACAGAGGGAGCAGAGCGCGGCTTATCTTCGGAATGTGCTCTTTTTTCTTCCTGCCGAGTAAATTCTTACCCGACAGCCCCTTAAAATTGATAGCACACAGCGTAACTATTGCAGAGGCATAAAGTCTCATTACAAGCAAAGGGGAGTGACTAAGGATTTGCAGTTTTGTAGAAATTCATATCCAAATTTTGTTTAATATTTCAATTGTTTGCGCATAGCATCGCAAACATGGAGGTTTTCGATGCTAGAATGGAAAATGAATCGTTACAGTTCTTTTCTTCTCCAAGAAATCGGTTTAGCGATGAATGTGGAATAGGGTGTAATTATCAACGCAATCTTATAGTCACATGACTCGATCAGTCTGAAATTTGATAGAACTGCACCCTTAAAAACATAAAGTCACACTAAAATCTAAAGATGCTGCGCTGCGTCTATCATTTTGACTTACACTGCACACATTATTCCAAACCCCGCGTTTAAAGAATTCTCCTTGTGCCTATTCCTGTTCCTTTTCTATGATTATCCTCCAGTTATCATCTTCTTTCTTTAATATGAGGGAAAAGCCAAATGATCCTCTATCCCGCCCCCTTCAGTATCACAGGAGGCCAAAATCCTCCGCAAAACTCTTGACCTAATGATCTTCTTGCAGACTTTAAAATAAGCACAACCCACGCGGTATATTTTGCTAACCACCAGCTTTCATATCATTTTCTGACCGTCAGTTTTGAAGGTTCATCTAGCACAGAATTCACATTCCTAGTATCTCATCATCACTCAATTGACCCCATATGAACTAATCAGCGAAGAGAATATCATATTCGAACAAGCAGACAAGAAATAATTTCAGGTTTTAGTTTGCTACAAATGCAAGTAATGTATTTGTATCTGAGTTTGGTCGTCACATGAATAGGACATAGACTTGACTCTTTTATCAAACCGATGAGATCGAAACTTTGTTCCCTCACTTGTTCCTACAAGATCGATCTATGCACGTCTCAATCTACTCTGATACTATCCACAATATCTCGACACAACGATTTGACCGACCAACATGCAAACAAATGTCGTTAGATCCCCAAACCACCTTGTTCAAGACTATGGATACAATAGTAGTAATGCGAGACATATAAGACAATACCAACCCCGAATCCAACTATGAAAATTTGAATTTCAGAATCAACAGGTATCACATACAGGTAAAAACCTCAATTCCTGCTCATCAGAAGACTCACTCGCTCTATCATTTTCTAATCATGTAAGAGTTCTGGAACCTATTTACCGCACCCCTGTGACAAATATGACAAAATCCCTGCAAAAAGTGAGTTTTCTTATATTAACTAATAATTTTAATATTTAATTGAAATCTCTATATTTATCTTTAAAAAAATTTATAAATAATAAACAATTATAATTGAAATATAAAAAATTGATTGAAATATTTTTAATTACTTTTGTTGATTAATTATTTAGAATTGAAATCGAAATTTTTCGAAAATTCCAATATATGATGTTTTTTTCTATATAAAATAAACGAATTTTTATGAAAATTTAGAATTTTCAATTTTAATTGCTTTGAATCTTATTTAAAAAAATTAGAAAAAAATATTCTATTTGTTTTTCTATTAAATTTGATTAATTAAATAATATTTTTTAAAAGAATTTTTAATTTTGTTTTTTTCTTATAGTAAATAAACTAAGATATAAAAAGTTGAATAATCCTATATTTTAGCTGGAAAAGCGTTACATGTGCGGTAAGTAGGTTCCAGAACTCTTATTATATTAATCTGATCTGGGAAACCTAAAATAAATTCAGATTCTGATGTCCAAGATAATTATGATACAGAAATGTAATTATAGTACGAACCCGCTCAAAGTCTACCATCACCCAGTATCAAAACAGCTTTTCGAGATTTATCCGAGCTAGGTAACACCACACCCTCTTGACAAAATTTTAGACTCTCGCCTCCCCTAAATGAAAAATACGTCATCTATAAACTTGATGACCCTATATTATTACACTGACAGGAGTTGAAAAGATTGTGTCCTCAACGCCAATCTGATTCTTTGAAAAATTATCATCGTATCGAACGTTTTCGGCTTTTCAAGCATTCCAAATCTTCTCTTCAGATGAAGTACCAAAGAGCTTTCAGGATTAAAGTGTGACCTTGACCTAAAATACTCACTGGAAATCTTGTTATAATCGTAATCTATTTGTTTCCACATCAAAACCTAAAAACAAGTCAAGTGAAATATCTAGTTATTAATAAATATCTTCGTCAAGCGATTTTAATACTAGAAAAGAATATACTAATCCAAATTCATTAATATCCAATCTATCAAGTCATTATATCCTAAAGAGGCATGAAATATCCTGCCTTTTGTTTCTAAGAATATCATATATGAGTTAGACTATTCATATTCATACATACAGTAATACTAATATCAATGTAAGAACTTCAAATAGCCGTCGTATATCTTGAATTGTAGTTTCATTGCATATATACAATTTTAAATACAATACAACATACCACTCTCTGTAAAAATTCGACCAATCATTCAACTTCCAAATCCAACTACAGTCCGCTCAATCCTTCATCCTACTCCTAAGGTCTTGAA